CACCCGACCCGCCACCTGCACTTGTGCGTGCCCCCTGCAGGTGCTCGCTGTACCACGTCTTCCCCTCCTTCCCCATCTACGCCAAGGACCTGAAGATCCGCCAGGCACGGTCTGCTGCCCTGCCCTGGCCTGCAGCGCCATCTCCGCCTGCCTGTCTGCCTGCTTGCCGCCGCTGCCTGCCTGCCTGTTGTGGTCCCTGCCTGCCTGCCTGCATGCATGCCATGCTTCTGCGTGAGCACCCCCGCATCTGCCCGCCCACCGACACATCCCCCTCCCCCCCCTGCCTGTGCGCCTGCAGTGGATCCAGACCCTGGTGAAGGGCCACCCCGGCGTGCTGAAGATCACCAAGAAGAAGGTGGTTCGCCTCTATACCACCTCGGGCGGCAGCGCCCTGGTGAGCCTTCTGGGCGGGAGGGTGCTCCTGTTGCGTGTGCATCCGTTGGAGAGCCTCGCGCGGGGCATGCCGGCGCTGATGCATGGTGGTGGAGCCTCGCCTCGCGTCCTGTGCCCACCACCTCCACAACGCTCGGCGCTGCCGCAGTGCCCATGCATGGCTGCCGGGGACGCGTCGCTCAGCTGGCCCGCCAGTCGGGCGCCCTCGCCACGCCAGCTCACGCCAACCCGCTCCCCTCCCCACCCCACCCCTCCGCTGCCCGCAGGTCGTCAAGGCCGACATCAAGGCTGGCAAGGCTGTGGTGCACAAGATCAACCGCGTGCTGGTGCCCGGCAAGAAGGTGTGGTGGCCCAAGGCCAAGGTCATCACCTGAAGCGCCCCACACACACCCTCGCCCTCCGCCGAGCTTCGCCCAGCCGGCAGCCGGCAGGCACGCACCCGATGAGCGGCGTGTGAAGCGCCTGCTCCGACGCCCCGTCCGGCATGCAGCCCGCTGGCTCCCCATGCACACGATACACTCCTCCCTTCTCCCCTTCCGACCACTCCTGACCCTTTGGCCACTGCCCGTGGGCGTTCCCTGTGCCCTCCCCCATGCGCATACTACCTCCCCCGCGCACTCCCCATTGCCACGTTGCCAGCCGTCTGTAGCATTCATTCGGCTATCCAGCATTGATGGATAGCGAGGGACCCCAGCATTTCATTCGCGTTTCCACCCTTCACGCTCTTTCAGCCCCGGCATGCGGCGACGCGCTGCATACAGCGCCCAGCCGCGGCCGGGCTGACCTCGGACTGCCACCAAATCCCTTTTGTATGTATGTGTAAGCTGAGACACACTCCTGCAGCCAGCGATCAAGGGTCATGCGCCGCACCCACAGCTGCCTCCTCTGCACTCAAATGGTGGCAGCGCGGTTACAGCCAAGCGCCGCCGTACCCTTTTCAGTCCAAGCACGTGCCGCCCAAGCACTACAACACAGTCTGTGAGGTGCAGGTGGGCAGAGTGCCGTGCCCTGCACCTGCCCCGGGCCGCCTCACACCGACGGCAGGTCGCCGCCGTGGTTGTGCACGCGGTTGCCGCGCAGCAGCGAGGTGTCGGGCTGCGGCGTGCCCGCTGCCCCGCCCGCCTCCGCCCCAGCCAGCACGCCGGGCAGCCTGCCGATGGCACGCAGCACAAAGGCGGCGCCGAGGAGGGTGCCCAGCAGGGCACCGGCCGCCACGTCAGACGGGTGGTGCTTGAAGTCGGTGATGCGGCTCACCCCCACAAACCTGCATGAAAGCCAGCAGCAAAGAAAATGAGAAGCGGAGGCCAGGCAGGCAGGCAGGCAGGCAGGCAGGCAGGCAGGAGGGGCAGCAGCAACGACTGCACACTGCTACACGTGCCGCAGCGGGCAGCAGGCTGCCTGCGCATCAGGCATCAAGCTGCAGCAGGCAAAGCACCCGGCGTGCCCTGCCCTGTCCACAGGCGCAGCCACACGGCGACGCAGGCAAGGGGGAGCTCTCACCAGGCATAGAGCAGCAGGGCCACCACCCATAGGAAGCCGGCCGCGGTAGCTGCCTCGTGTGCCAGGCGCCGCCACACACCCAGCCGCCTCACGCCGCCCGCCGACCTGCGCGGCGGCCTGCAGACAAAGATAGAGGGAGCGTGCGGCCGCCGTTGACAGGGCTGCGCGCAGGGCAGCTGCAATAGGCTGCACGAGCAGCAGCAGCCCGGGGTATGTTACACACACCACAGCAACCCCGCCACCAGGCCCCGTCTCCACAGCCTGCCCCATCCACCATCCACCATCCACCCCATCCATTCCCGGGGCCAAGGCTGCCCTCCCCCTCACCGCACGTTGAAGGCCCAGATGCAGTATCCCACGGTCCAGACCGAGAATGCAAAGGCGGTGGAGGTGTGGCCGCTGGGGAAGCTGTACTGCCCCTCTGTGAGCTCTGGCGAGGCGGGAGCGGTACAGGGCGGGTTCGCCGCTGCGGGCAGGCCGTACTGGACGGCCAGGGGGTCGGGCACGGGCGGCTGGCAGCGGGCGAGGAAGTCGGGGCGCAGCCGCCCCACCACCATCTTGCTGACCTGGCGCGGGGTGGCACCGGCGGGGCGGGGTTGGGTGGGTACGGGACCGTGCGCGCGTGTGTGGCGGCATGTGTGGGTGTGTGGTGGCGGCGTGCGTGCGTGTCATGCGTGAGAAGCAGCGGGTGGGCGAGTGGGTTGGCTGGGAGGCAGCGGGAAGGCGTGGCGGGCAGGGAGGGGAGCAGGCATGCTCCCCCGAGGCCGCCGCCGCCGCCGCTGCCCGGCCCGCGCAGGCATCTGCGGCGCGCGGCCTGCAGGCCCGCGCTTTCCACCCCACCCACCTGCGTGGCCAGGCCCGTGACCAGAAAGGCGCTGATGCCGTCCAGGGCGAAGTGCAGGGCCGCTGCCAGCCCATCTGTGAGATCGGCGTGCAGCCCGCGTGCCAACCATAGCTCAGCCAGCAGCACCGACAGCAGCAGGGCGGCCAGGGAGGCCACAATCACAGACCAGTAAGGGATGGTGGAGTCCCTGCAGGCGGCGGCAGGTTGGGTGGGGCATCTCGGCAGCGCGGCGGCAGCTGGGAGGGGTTCGGGGACCGAGGAATGGGAGCAGCGGCGCGCGCGGCGGCGGCGGCTAGGGCCGCGCTGCCGCTCACCCGTTGGGGTAGCTGATGGTGGCGTCTGTGACCATGAAGGGGCGGCTGCGGGGCCCTCCCAGCACCCCCTCCGCGACGCCCAGCGCCAGCAGCACGACGGCGGTGCTCAGCACGCTGCCCCAGTCCTGCTGCAGCAGCACGCGCGCCCACGACACGCGGCGCAGCTGCCAGCTGGCGGGGCCGTCCCCGCTGGCGCAGGAGCTGCCGTCCTCCATGTTCAAAGCGTCAGGCAGTGCCATGCGCTGAACCGGGGGGTCAGAAGCTGAGGGCCTCAAGCAGGCGGGAGGGCAGGCTGAGAAGCAGGGCCTGCGGCGGCACGGCGCGGCAGGTGGCGGCGAGCGGCAGTGAGCGCCCCGCCCGTGGCGCAGGCGGTCGGCGGCGAGCTGTGTAGCGCCCTGCAGCGAGGGGAGAAGCCGCTGCGCGCACCTGGCAGGTTTACCAGCCACCGCGTGGACCGAAGTGGAGTCCGCGTGCAGGGCTGGGATCGGCGGCAAATCTCAGAATAATAGGATCTGGGCAGGGCTATCAACCCAGCAGCTCAGCTACATCACAGCGCCTCCGCCCCATGGGGCCCCAGCGCGTGGGCAGGGTGCGCAGCGTGCCCAGCGCATGCTCCCGCTCATCCCAGCATTTGCTCAATTCTGCGAGTACTCTCATGAGCATGTGCCTTCAACAACAACACACCAGATTGGACGGTGTTAGATAATGGGACTAGGCGCAGGCTGGCTGCCCGAAGGGCCTGGGACGGGCGCCTCGCGCACGCGTGAGTGCGGAGTTTGCCTGCCGCCATCACCGGCACGGCTGAAAAATACCGGTTGAAAGGGGGGATAACCGCTGAAAAGGGGGAAAAGGAGGATAAAAAGTAACGGTTTGTCGAAATATCGAATCCTTGACAGCAAGTTGAACAGGCAAAACAAAAGAAGGGGGTTAACGCTGTGTGGGGCACGGCGATGTCAGAAGGCAGTGCTGAACGGAAAAGCAATGCGCTACGAGGTGAACTGAAAAGGGTGTTCAAAAGAGGGAGAAATGAAGACATAAATTGTGGGGAGCTCAATCGCGGCAAATCTTTTTGGATGATGAAGGCCGCAATCGCCAGGGGCAAAAGTGCTCCGACAGACGCAGCAGGTCACATGTGCACGCCCTCCCCCGTTCATGGCAAGGGGAGCAGGCAGGGCTGCCATGGCCTGGCATGCATGGGTGCGTTGCCAAGGGATATCAAAAGTGGCGGATTCAAAAATGCCTGAGGGAAGGAAGTCGGTCGATGAGGTCAGGGATGCAAGGGACATGGATCTGAAGGGCCAGCGGCACGATGCTGGCAGGAATCATACGTTGGGGTGGCTACCAGGCGATGGGGGCGGCTGCCAGCGGCGGTCCTGCCTCGCAAGAGGGCCAGCCGGGGCGGCGCTCCGCTGATTGCGGCATAAGACATGTAGGGTAGGTAAGCGGGGTTGGGGAATGTGGAGTCTCGGCAGGAGGCTGCCGGTGCGCTACAGCAGATCTGGGGCTCAGCACAGCAGGCCGCCATCGCTGTCGCCCTCCAGCAGGCGGCTCAGCACTGCGCAGCACAGGACGGCCGGGCAATGGACACTCCAGCTTGTCAGCGCTCAGGCATGCGTGTGTGGTGGCGGGGCACGGCGACGGCGGCAGGCAGCACTGAGTGCGGCAGCGGGCCGGGGAAGCACCCATGCAGGCCCATCGCCAACCCTCATCCCCACCTCCAGAGTCGATCAGCAGCGAGTCCCAGACGTCAGCAGGGTATAGAGAATCATCCAGAGAGCCCGCATTTGGCAGAGCGGCTGCCTCATGGAATGCATCCTCGCCACCGGCCGGCGGCTCGCTCCCGACCTGCTGCTGCTGCCGCCGCGGCGCGTCCCAGCTGCCGCCCTGCTGGCAGGCCACCACAACGCTGGTGTCGCAGCTGCAGCGGCTGCCAGCGCAGCTGGGCTCGGGGCGGGGCTGGCCCGACGACAGCGGGGCCGCAGGCTCCAGCGCGGCTGGGGCAGCGGCGGAGCGAGCTGGGGGGTCAGAGCGCAGCAGCAGGGTGCAGGCGCCGCATGGGTGCTGTGCCAGCTGTGCTTGCTGTGCCTGCAGTGCCTGCTGCTGCTGGGCAGGCTGAGGCTGCAGCTCCGCCCGCTGGAAAACATGCTGCTGCTGGGGAGGGAGGGAGAGGCTGGGGGGTGCAGACCCAGGCGCTGCTGCTGGCACCACCATCGCATGCTGCTGCTGGACAGCCTGGGGCTCGTGGGGCCGGGGCTCCTGCGACGGCTGCAGCACCACGCCTGGGGGCCTGTGCAGCCCGCTCGGCGACGGCGGCCTGTGTGGAGGCATGCCATGAGCGCTACCGGGGCCGTCGGCTGGCAGGGAATGCGACCGCCGCACAAGCGAGGCATGCAGGCCGGCGGGCGGTGGGCCGCGTGGAGGGCCGCCGCCGCCACCGGCCACACCCAGCTGCAACTTGCTGCTTGCGCGGCTGCCGGCCTTGGCACTGCCTGTCGCCTGGCCCGCTGCGGCTGTTGGGTGGCCCGGGGGCCGGGCCTGGCACCTGCATCGCAGCGGTGGCATACCCATGCAACTGTGGAAGAGGTGCGAGGCAGGTGACGCATAGCCTCAGACGCATAGCCTCAAAGAGCGACACATGCTGTGCGGCGGCATCCCCTCACCTCAGCAGCCCAGCAATGTACTGGCCGTGCGCCTCCAGCTGCATCTGCAGCCCGCGCTGCGCCTGCACGGGGCGGCAAGCCAGGCACCGCCTCGGTTGTCGTGAGTGACAGATGGCAGAGGCGCGCACTGTGCTTGCCTTAATGGAGGCCTTGCTGGGTGGGTGGTGGCTGGGCGGGTAAGGGTGGTCACCAGTATACAGTCGCTGACTGGCTCGGCTGGTTTGGTATTGCGCCTTGAACACTCACTTACAACACACACACACACACACCATGCGCACCAGCCCCTCACCTCCATTGAGCAGCACAGCTGGCGCTGCATCTCCATCTGCACTCGCAGAGCAGACTCGAGGATGCTGAGCCGCGAGGTGGCGGGTGCGGAGGCCGCGGGCGCAACGCCGGCTGCAGCTGCGGCTGCAGGGTCTGCCCCCTCGCTGGCAGCCACCTGCGAGCCGCTGGCTTCGCTGCGCTGTGGGGCCGCCAGCTGGCTGGCTGAGCGGTCCGGCTTGGCGGTGGCAGGCTGGGGGGCGGCATGGTGAGGCAGGGCCCGGGGCAGCTGCTGGTGCTGCGCTGCTCGCTCGCAAACGGCGCACCGAGGCTCGGCTGCGGCCGGCGGCTGCTGGGTCAGCTCCGTGCCGGCGGCCTGCTGATTATTCAGGCTGCCAGCTGGCGCCAGCGAGGCTGCCAGCTCAGCATCTACAACCGGCGCGGGCTGCGTGCCCCAGCCTGGCGGCAGCAAGGCATCCCCAAACGGGTCGCTGGGGCTGCACTGCCCATCATCCTCGGCTCCGCACAGGTCCCATGCGCTCAGGTCCCGCTGCTGCTGCTGCTGCTCATGCTCATGCTCATGCTCATGCTCCGGCGCCGCCGCCTGCTCCGACCGGACTGCTGCCGCCTCGCCAGCATCGCCTCCGCCACTGCGCTTCTTGCTGGCGTTGCCGGCGGGCCTGCCTCCTTGGGTCACCTCCCGATACTTCTGCAGATGGCTCTTCACGTGAAAGAGGGTCAGGCCAGGCACGTTCATCGCCAGCTGGATGCGCTTTGGAGTGGCCTGGAACGCGCCGCCTGCAAGGTAGCCCAGCAGTGCAGCCGTGCGGCGCAGTGGATGGGTCGCAGCGGCCAGGCTGGAGGCCGCATGGCGGTGCAGCGGCGGAGGGAGGGGGTGGGGAGCTCCATGCAGCGCGGCGCATGCACCCGGCAAGTCCTTGAGCGTACGTGCAGCCTGCCAACACAAAGAGCAAAATGCGGCCCTCCGGCAGGCGCTCGGCTGTTGGTGCTAGTTCGCCCACGGCGTGCGCACCTAACTGCTGCACGACCGCCACAAACTGTGCATGCAGCGCGGGTGACCAGCGGAGGCGTGTGCGCTTCTGGGGGCTGCTCCCTGCGCATTCCAGGGGCGCGGACAGACCGGGCGGTCAGTGGAACGAGGGTCGGGGCAGCGGTGGGGAACAGGCACGCCGTGCTGGCTGCGTGCCCTGCCGTAGGGAACCCAACGGAATGCCACTGGTGCTCGAGCACTTCCATGACAAGCTGCATGAACCAGCCACACTTACCCTCCTGCTGCTGCTTGTGTTGCATCTGTGATTCTTCCCGGGGGGCTGGCATTCTCTCCGCCTGCGCTGCCGCCAGCGCAACCAGGTGCGACTGCGCCGGCTGGGCCGCCGCAACGGAGCGGGCGCCCAGGCTGGGAGCCGCGGCGCCTGTGCATGCCGCGCCATGCATTGGCATAAAGTAGACGGGCTGGATGGCCTGGGGTGGCAGCGGATGTGGTGGAGGGGGAGCCTCCTGCTGGCACGCGGCGGGGGCGGCGGGACAAAAGTGTATCAGTGCCTGGCTCGCGGCATTGCACCCGATGAGCTGCCAGAAGCACCACAAGCACTGCAGCAGGGCTGCAGGTGGAAACCCCCGCCATCGCGAAGGAAATAGCACCTTCCCGCTGCCGTGCATGGGCCCCTGTCACCGCCAAAGAGCAGTTTTCAGAAGCCCGTTGCTGCGTGGATGAACATACACTACACCCTCCATTGGTTTGCACAAACGGGCGGTTTGGGGGCTTGCGCCCTGCACCCCGAGTGGGATGGAGGCTGGGGAAGGGCAACCAGTTAAGTTGGCCGGGGTTCGGGCCCGGGTTGAAGATCCGACAATTTGAGGCAGGCTGAGGTAAAGGTAAAGGTGGGGAAGAGCCTCCACAAGCTTCACTTCCCGGTTTTAACGTCTAGCTTTAGACCATTATTTGATCTGCCCGACGCGCCAAGTGCAGTACCCCCCACTAGTAGTGAATGGGTCCCGGGGAGGCCTGTGCCGAAGCCTTGGCGATTCTATTAGGCGTTCCCGAAGGAATTGGCTTGGATTGGCGCTGAGCCGGTCAGCTATGCCGCGTTTGTCCTCACAAAGTTTCGACATGGGAGGAATCGAACCTGTGCCCTCTCGGAGGGTTTAGACACTAGCTCCAGCGCCTTCAAAGAAGGCCTTTCTTAGCCGCGGCCTAAGCCTGAGGTTGCGGCCTGAGGTTGCGGGAAGCCATCCACGGGGCCACGGCAATTCGCATGCTTTGCACGCTGGGCACCTCAGCGCTCGGTTTATGCCATATGCGCGCCTCGCCGGGCACGATTCCCAATCATGAATCTCCGATCTCAGTTTGTCCAAAGTTGAGAGCTCGTCAGGCCCAAGTCGTGGGTGGGCAGCCTGCCGGCGCACGACCGCATCCATCTTGATGGGCAGTTTCCCAAGCTGGACCAACCTCCGTGAACCACGCAGCTGTGCATGTGTTCCAGAATCTCTCACGTGAAGCAAAGGGGCGCACACCACGCTGTGCCCGCATCACTGCTGCAGCGCTGGCGGCTGAGCATCTGCTGCCGCCACCTGCAGTACGACTAGTTGCCTTGCTTCTGCTGCACCTTTTCTGCTGGGGCAGCATTCGCCTCCGATCTCCCTCTGGGATTTCTGCCAACTCGCCGGGGGGGTCAGTATCTCCGACCATGCATGCCTGAAGCCGCAATTCCTGCCTCCCAGCCGCATGCGGGCTGCCGAGCGCCATGCACAGAGCGGGCGCCCCCGCGCTCCCAGTAGATACAGGCTTGCATTCTACAGAACAGCAGAATTCATGTACATAGAGGAAGAAATTGTAGCACGCTAAATGAGAACACCATGCACAGACAATCGTGACGGAAATAAAATGGTGGGGGAAGGCTTTTGCCTGATCAGATTTCTTGCACTGAAAAATGCTGTCATCTATGCGACAGAAGCAAGATGTTGTTGGCACTGCATGCTCTGTAATGAGAACACACGTTTATCTTTAACAACAGAATAGAGCGGCGCCGCCAGCAACCTGGCATCCTCCGGCTCATCGTGTGTGTGCCTCCATGTGAGCCTGCCTCAGGCTGATGCAATGCTGGAGAGGCAAAAGAGGCCAATGTGCATGCCGCATCACGCCGCCCGCAGCAGCGCCAGCACCCCAACCACGCCCACCCAGACCAGGCAGCTGAGGCCATACGCCTCGGTCAGCCACGCGTGCGGCAGGCGCAGGGAGTGGGGCGCATCCGCCTCGGGCTGCTCCAGCGCCTCGACGCTGGCGGCGGCAGGCCCCCGACCTGCCTCCTGCCTCGGGCCCTGCACCCGCCTCGCGGTGGCCTCGAACCGGCGGCGGGCCGAGCGCTGGGTGTGGTACAGGACCAGGAGGGGCAGGGCCACCAGCAGCAGGAGGCAGGACCACAGGTAGACCGCCAGGCACTGCTGCATCGGGTCGACTGTGTCCAGCCCAGAGAAGGTGGGCTGCACCTGGCCCGACGCGGGAGCGCTGCAGGCGGAGCGAGCAGGCGGCCAGCGAGGGGCGGCGGCGGCAGCAGGTGAGGCGAGCCACAGCAGGGCGTGCCCTTCAGCGGCAGCGGCGGCGTGCAAAAAAAATCGCCGCCGGCAACACGAACAGAGCAGCGCCAATGGGCGATGGCAGTGCCAGCTTAAGCTCCGGCGCCTGGCACTCACTGGGCGTAGTGGGCAGCCTTGAACAGCTGGCCCAGCGGGCGCAGCGTGCCGGGGGCCTGCAGGAGCTGGCGGCACACCGCGGGGCTGCCCCACACCTGCGGCAGGATGGCAGGATGGGCGTCGCAGAGGTGAGGGGCCAGCCGGTGCGTGTCTGGCACGTGAAGCGGCGGCATGCTCAGCATGGCTGAAGGCCAGGCTGGAGGCTGGGGCGAGGGGCGAGGGCGGGTCAGCACAGGCTGCGCATGGCGGCAGCACGCGATATAGCTGGCTGGGGTGTGCAATGCAGTGTTGGCGGCAGAGCCCCGGGCAGGGCCCCCGCTGGGTGCAGGGAGCGGCAAGGCTCACGGGCAGCGCAGCCAGCGCTGGCAGGGCCAGGCAGCTCCACAGGAGCAGGGTGTGGCGGTGCAGGGGGCAGGTGAGGAGCAGCATCCAGAGGGGTCCCGCCGTCTGCATGAGCGCCAGCAGCTGCCAGGGGCTGCCGCCGTGCAGCCAGAACGGGGTGAAGCCACCGCCATCCTGCGCTGCAAGGGGGAGCGAGGGGGGAGGGAGGCAGGCAGGCAGTTGGCAGGGCGGCGGAGCCATGCCATGCCATGCCATGCCAGTGGCAGCGCCAGCAGAGGCAGGCGTGTATGTGTGCTGGTGGTGGGCAGGAGGCGGGCGAGCACGCGCCATGCGCGGCTCGCTGCTGCCAGGACGCCCGAGGCGGCGGCTTTCCCTGGCAGCAGGCCTGAGCTGCGGTGCCGCTGCGGCGCCGCTGCGGCGCCCCGGCAGGCGGGACGCACCCAGCCTCAGCAGCACATAGGCGTGGTGTGCCTGGCCGCCCAACACCAGCAGCTCTCGGAGGCGCACATAGGCGCCGCGGTGGTAGGCGGCCGCCAGCGACAGCCCCTCAGCCACCAGGCAGTGGGATGCGGCCAGCGTGACGAGCCCTGCATCGCATCGGCGGCAGCGGATGCCAGCAGGCAGCGGCAGCAGTCAGTGAGTGCTCGGGCGGGGCTGGACAGAGGAAACAAAGGCAGGGCCTGGGCGAGCGGCCGTGAGGACGGCAGCAGTGCAGACTATCCAGCGGCGGCGGCGGCGGAGCTGCGATGCGAGCCGTGCCGGCGCTGCACAAGTGGGGCCACAAGCGGCGGCGGCGGCGGCGGCGGCGGCGGCGCCTCACTCATGCGATCCGGGTGGAACAGCGTACGCCAGCAGCAGGTGGGAGGCCCGACGCCATGCGCTCCACACCGGCCCCTCGCTCGTTCAGGTGCCTGCGGGGCGGCGGGAGCGGCGGGGGGGTGCGGGTGGTATCCCGGAGTGTGCCCGCCAGGTGGCTCGTGCGATGCGGGTGCTGAGGACAACCCACGTGAGGGAGCCGGTCAGCAGGCGACATGCAGGCACACACCTGCGGAACGGGTCCTGGAGAAGCGCCTGCCAGCGGGCTGCGAGGCCGGCCATGCTGCTGCTGCTGCCTTTGGACGCGCGCAGTGTTGCCGCCGCCGCCGCCGCCATCCGCCGCCGCCGTTGGAGGGTTCACAGAGCTAGGCCCCAGCCCTGCCTGTGCCCGCCGGTGCGACCTCCTGCGTCACATTGGGCTCGCAAAGATGCCTTTGCTTGCGTGCAAGCGCTCAGCAATGAGCCCCCGGCCTCCTGCCCGCCGATCTTCCCGTCCCTGGCGTGGCCTGTTACACTCCGAGCTGCAGAAATCACCTTGCGAGACGGGTTGTGCGCTGCTGGGATGCCCGGTGCAGGGCCACTCTGGGCCGTGCAAACTCTCGCCCGAGGGCGATGGGGAGGAGAAGGGAGCCAGCAGCCTCCCAATGGAGGGCTCTCGAGGGCCAGCAGGTCGTCCTCTGAATGGAGAGAGGACGGGACGAGGATTTCTCTATGATTCATGACTGCCGCCATGGCAGGACCTGACCACAGTAGTAGTGTACTCGTTCGTACTGGTGCCCTCCTCCTCGATCAGAGGGCTTTGGGCTTCACTTCCGCCCCAATCGCTGTACCTCTCGCCGCTTTTACATCAATGAACAGGATTTGGCGCGGGCGCGGCGGACGCGGCATGAGCCGGGGGCAGGCGGGGGAATGCGCGCCGCCGCTCCGCCGCTCCGCCGCCGCCGCTCGCGAGCTCCCTCTATGACAGCGAGAGGGAGGGCAGCCAGCTGGCTCCAGACCTGATGTGGGCACGCAGCACCCGATACTCTGCAGGGCTAGCCCGCAGCAACGTGGCCACAGCCGGCAGCAGCACCTCGCACTCCTGGCTGCGCCCACTGCAGGGCGGCAGTGGGGGACGCAGGGAGGGCAGGGGGCGGGGGCAGAAGTGATGAGGGAGTTGGGCATTGCATGGGATGGGGCGGGCTGGTGAGACGAGGGGGGCAGGCGCAAGCTGCAGCATGCGTGCGGGTGAGAGCAGGCAGTCGAGGAGGCGGGCAGGCGCTCTACCGCCGCTGTTGCCGGCCACCTCCCTCCACCCCCCCCCCCTCCCCTCGTGCCCAACTAACTGCTCCCACAGCCTGTCCCCGCTCACGCCCGCACCTCCACACCTCCGCACACACCCAAAACCACAGACCCAGCACCGCCACACCCACACGCACCTGATGTGCGCATCAATAAACTTGAGCATCACGTTTTTGAGGTACAGCAGGTCTGTCGTTTCCAGCACGTCCCGCTGCTTCACCGCCGGCAGCGGCGACGGCGGCGCGTCGCCGTTGGGCCCCCCGGGCGACAGCAGGCCGCCGCCGGGGGAGGGCAGCGGCCCCGCGGCCCCCGGCTCTGCCGCGGGCAGCGCGCCGGAGCCCGCGCGGCGCCGCGCGCCGGCCACCGCAGCCGCCGCCTCCCGCCCCGCGCGCTCCCGCTCTCGCTTCTCTGCCGCCAGAGCATCCCGCTCCCGCTCCGCTGCCGCCAGCGCCGCCCGGAACTCCGCCAGCTGCACCGAGGCCGCCGAGGCAGCGGCCTCCAGCCGCTGCAGCCGCTGCTCCGCCTCGCGCTGCTGCCGCTCCAGCCGGTCCTGCGCCGAGGCGGCGGCGCGCTCGGCGGCGGCGCGCGCCGCGCGGTGCGCCTCCGCCGCCGCCTGCACCTCTCCCAGCTGCGCCTGCGCCTCCCTCAGCGCGGAGTGCATGGCGGCCAGGCGAGCCTCCACATTCTCAATCTCCTCCTGTAAGGCCGAGGGGCGGCGCGCGGGAGCAAGCCAACAACTGTACGTGTGGGAAGGTGTAGGGGCATAGGCGGAAAAAGAAGGCGGCCAAAGGGGCCTCGCCCGCAGCCCTGCGCTTCACAGAGGCGCGGCGCGGGGTCGCGACAGGCTGGCAGAGCATGTGTGGAAGGCACGCGCGCTGCGCCGCGCGGCGGCGCCCCGCTGGTGGCCGCCTCACCCCACCTGCGCCGCCAGCGGCCACGCCGCACGGTCGGTCCCCGCCGCCTCCCACCGCTCCTGCACCAGCCGCGCGACCGACTGCTGCGCGGCAATGACGCGGGCCGCGGCGGCCTGCGTGCGAGGGGGAAGGTGCGGCCGGGTAGGCCGGTTCGGCTGGGGAGGAGGGCAAGCACAGGTGGACATACACACACACACACACACACACACACACGCAGCCTGCCTGCCCGCATGCACCACCACGCACACAGCCAACACCGATGGTGCACCTGTTCGGTACCCACACACCGCCACCACCACCACCACCACCACCATGCACCTCCACCTCCAGCCGCAGTGCCACCACAAACCGGCGCACCTGCCCACCACACCCCACATGCATACCACCACACACATACCACCATCAGCACGCACCTGCACCTCCAGCCGCAGCGCCTCGTTGTCCCGCGCCGCCGCCGCCAGCCGCGACTCGAGGCTGGATGCCAGCCTGCGCACCCGCAGCGGGCAGCACGGGCGTTGCCCTTTTCAGGCATACAAACAAACATACAGGCACAGGCACAGGCACAGACACAGGGGGTGTGCCGCAGCTGGGGCTCGAGGGCCAATCCGGGCGGGAGGGAGGCAGGGACAGGAGCAAAGCACAGAAACAAAGGCAGAGCAAGAGAGCCAGAGCCCAGAGGGCGCCAGATCCAGACAGACATACACAGATACACTCAAAACAGCAACTATGACACAGATGCACTCAGCCACCCACCTTGCGGTGGTCAGCAGCTCGTCCTCCGCCCTCGCCCGCTTCTCCTCGCTCTGCTGCGCCAGTGTGCGGTACGACTCGGCCTGCAGGCGGTACGGACAGGCAGCCCATCAGCGATACCGCGCTTGTTTCTCGACGCTTGTAGCAACGGTGGCGAGGGTGGTGCAAGCGTAGCCCACAGCCCTTGCCCCACCTGCCCATGCCCACCAGCCGGCCCCCGCCAGACACCCTACTCCCCAGAAGGCCCCAGAAGAACCCCCGCAGCCATGCCCCACACGGCAGGGCCCCACCTGGCCGTGCTGCATGCGCGAGTCGTCCAGCCGCGCCTCCAGCATGGACAGGCGTACCGCCATGGCGTCCCGCTCGTGTACCGCCTCCTCCATCTCATGCACCTGCTTGGGGGGGCATGTGCGCCTCTGTGAGTGGGGCGATGTAGGCTGGGAGAGTGGAAAGGAAGAGGAAGCAGCGGGGAGTGGGGAGTGGGACTGAGGTGCGAGGAGCACACACACACAGCAGGCACCGCAGGCCCCGGCGGCAGCGAGGCCAGCAGCAGCAGACGCCCCGCAGCTCCCCACCTCGGCCGCCGCGCGCGCCGCCGCCAGCTGCGCCGCCGCCAGCTGCGCCTCCAGCGCCTCGTGCTGCTGGTGGGCCGCCGCCAGCTGGCGCGAGTGCTGCGCCGCCGCCGCCTCCAGCTCCGCGATGCGCGCCCGGTGCTGCGCCACCACCTCCTGCACACCCCACGGCAGGCCAGCGACCGGGCTTGAGCCGCGGGCAGGCAGCAGGCAGGCAGGCAGCTGGCCGCCTCGCTCCCACGCAGCTGCCTTGCACCTGCTGAAACAATGCAGCATGGTGGCTGTTATGAAATTGGCAGAACAGGCCCGAGAGGTGGACTCACGAGAGACTTGGCATCCGACTCGGCGACGCCCTTGGCGCGATGCACCGCCGCCTCGGCCGCCGCCGCGCGCGCCGCCGCATCCGCCGCCTCCTTCTCCCGCAGCCTCGTGTCCTGGTGCGCGCGCCGCACCTCCGCCTGCGCCGCCGTGGAAGCAAGCGAAGCCAGGGAGGGGTGGGCCACAGGGGGGGAAGTCGGGGAGAGCACGGCACGAATACACAATGCATCACAGCACAGGCCAGCGCCGCCACGACACACAGCACAGCGCAGCACAGCACAGCACAGGACAGGCACAGCACAGCACGGCACATCACAGCACAGCACACCTTCAAGTCTTTGACCTCTCCCTCCAGCCGCCCCGCCCTCGCCTCAGCCAGCTGCAGCTTGCGCTCCGCGGCCTCGCACCGCGACTCTGCACCGGCACAACAGCCAGCTTGTCTGCCACTGCTCGGCCCAGGCTGGCTAGCAGCAGGCACCTCCCTAAGGCAGCGGGCGCTTTCCAAAAGGCAGCAGGCCGCAGGCCGCAGGCTGGCTGGGCCGAGCAGGCAGCAGGCTGGCTGACTGGGCAGGCAGCACCAGAACGCGGCCTCCTGCGCCTCCTACCCACCCCACCCACCACCCGCCACCCTTTGCCCACCCGCATCCAGCCTGCTGTCCTGAGCCACCCGAAGAAGGTCGCCCTGCCGCTGCTGCGCCTCCTGGAAGCGATTGCGCATCTCCTGCACATGGGGATAGGGGAGAGGGAGAGGGAGGGGGAGGGAGAGGGAGAGAGAGGCCATGTGAGCGGGATAGGATCGGCTCCAGCACGTGCCAGGTTGCGCCACTGCCGCACGACGCAAGGCTAGCCGCGGTTGGCTGAGGCGCCGGCGCCTGCGCCGCAGCAGGCCAGGCCGCCTGCAGGCCGCGAACCGCCACCTGCCGCCCCGCCCCGCAACACCTCCAGCGTCCCGCAACACCTGCCAGCCCCTCCCCGGCAGCCCACCTGCGCCTTTCGTTCGGCAGAGTCGCGAGCAAAAGAGGCGTCCTGCTCTGCCTGCGCCAGCTCAGCCTGCAGGCGCCCCACCTGCAGCTGCAGCGTGGTGCACTGCTCCCGCCAGCTGGCGCCAGCCAGCGACGCCTCGCCCGCCGCCGTCGGCGACGCGACGCCGCCGTCGCCGTGCCCTGCCGACCCCGGCAACCCGGGCAGCGCCACCCCCTGCGCGGCCGCAAGCTGTGCCAGCGCCGCCGCCGCCTGCTGCAGCAGCTGAGGCTCCACGCCGCCGCCGCCGCCGCCGCCGCCGCCGGCTGCCTGCACCAGGGCTGCCAGCGCCGCGGGCAGCGCCGCGCCTCCCTGTCCGCCGCCGCCTGCCGCGCCGGCGCCGGCCTCTGGCTGCACCGCCAGCCTGACTGCAACGCCTTCCTCTGTGCAGCTCAGGCGAAGGGACACGCGCTCGCCTGGCGCCTGCTGAGGCGCCGTCGCCTGGGCCGCCGCCGCCGCCGGCCCGGCAAGGCCGCCGGAGCTGGCTGCCTGCAGGCGCTGCCGCCGCATGTGGTGCAGCTCGTGGTGGGCTGAATCCAGAGCCTCCTTCAAGTGCTCCAGCTCAGCCTGCAGGCCAGGCAGGCAGGACAGGGCAGGCAGCCCGGGGCAGAGGCAGCAGCGCCCGTCGGCAACCGCATCGCCGGCGGGCACGGCGGGCTGCGCCCGTGCGCGGCCTGGTGCCTGCGCCGACCTGCTGCCGAGCTTGCACTGCCGCACACCCAGCAGCCGGCCAAACACCCCGTGGCGATGTTGCTGTTTCCCGCGGCAAACATCCCCGCAAGGGGCGGCCCAGGGAAAGGCACACCGACACACACCGACAGGCCCTGCTGCCTCCCTGCCGCGGCCTTTTATTTATTTCATATTTATTTCTTTAAAACCACGCAGCCGCACCTGCGCCGCCAGCACCAGCACTTGGTTGACGCCCCCCTCCTGCGCCCGCATGGCGTCCACCTGGCGGTTGATCAGCGCCAGCTCAGCCTCCAGCGCCGCGTCGCCCACGCCCTGCCGCCGCAGCGCCTGCCGCAGCGCGTTGTTGGCCTCGAACAGCTCCTGCTTCTCCCGCAGGTGCACCTGCATGAGCACTGCGGCAGGGCAGGGGGCCAGGCGCCAGGCGCGGGAGGTGCTCATGCGGTAAGGACGGGTGGCGAGGGGCGGCGCTTGCGTGCTGCTGGAGCGCCCTGCCGGGCGGGGATTGCTGGCGGGGGATTGGAGGGTGGCCTCTTGCAGGGGCAGCCTGGAACAGAGCCTGAGCCCTTGAGCAGCCGGGGCCTGCAGGCTTGGTGGATCGGTTCACAGGTTCACTAGCACCACAGGGCTGTCGTCTGTCCCTGCCCCGCTCACTGTTGATGTCCTGACGGTCAAACCAGCGCAGCCGCTTGGCGCTCTCCACCGGTAGCCGCAGGTACTGCTGCTGCTCGGCGCCCTGCTGCTGCTGCTCCTCCTTAGGCGCTGCTGGCGCCGGCAGGGAGGAGGCGGGGGCCGTGCCGCCCGCCGCCGCCGTCACCGCCGCCAGCATGTTGGCGCCGCTGGGCGCCTGCTGCACCGCCTGCTGCACCTGCTGTTGCACTTGCTGCTTCAGCCTGCAGCACAGGGCGGGGAGGCGTGTTGTCAGGATCGGGGAGGCCGTCGAAGTGCAACCAACCGGGCTGTTCAATCAGGATCTTGCCTTTGACTCGATTCATTGACAGTCGCGAACGACTTCTCCAGCTTATCGCGCCAGGATTTCATTTTCGTGAGGGGAGGCCGCTGCGGCCGCCCAAAAGTCGCCACAAACCGGCTCAACACCGCCTGGCAATGGCTCGTGCGATCAGGACACAGGGCGGCGTCTTTGTCTACGTCAGAGGCTGGCGGCGGCGCCAGCTAGGCGTCCCGCCTGCCGTCTACCGCCGCCGCCAATCGCCCTCTGCCTCCACTGCCGAGCTATCATTTGTGTCGACGGTGAAATACGGATCAGTGTTGCATGTAATGGCGGGTGCCCAGCTGGCGGCAGGGCACCTTCAGAAGAGAGGTCAGTTGATGGGCGCAGCAGGCCCCCGGGCGAGCGCCCGCTGGGCGGCCTCGGTAAGCTGAGGAGGCCAAATGCGAGTTGTGGAGTGGGGCAGGAGAGAGCGGGGAGCAGAAATGACAAGAGAGCAGCACTAGGAGAGCAGGAGGGGTGCGGGAGGTGGGCACCGGCAGGGCAGCGGTGAGCAGGGCAGGGGCACGCCTCTGCTCACCGGCCCAGCCAGCCAGCCAACGTCACCGGCAAGGCAAAAAGGGGAGGCAAGGGGCGCTCTGAAGCTTTAGTATACAACTGGCGGGTGCAGCGGCGGCGCTCTTCGCCACGGCTGCCTCGTCCGCCCTCACGCCTCTGCCTTTTTCTTCTTCTTCTTCTTCTTCTCGCCCTCTGGCGCTGCCGCTGGCGCCGCTGCCGCCTCCTCCTCCTCCCCAGCCTTGCGCTTCTTCTCCTTCTTCTCCTTCTTCTTCTTCTTGCACTCTGCCGCCGGCGCCTCCTCGCCCTCGCCCGCAGCATCGCCCAGCGCGCTGATCACTTCCTGCACAAGAAGCAGCGGCGGCGCAGGCAGGCACACACAGTCAACGACCAGGGCGCCGGGGCGCGACAGCGTTGCTCGCACATCAGGAAGCACGCAGTGGCAGCACGCGTGGCCTCAGGCAATATGGGGGGGAAGATAAGCTGGCAGGCAGCTGCGGCGCCAGCCGGGCTCGCCTTCATCACATCCAGGTTCTTGCGGGGCGCCACGCCCTCCTCGTAAAACCGCAGCCGCTCCTCCACCTGCGGCAGCGGGCGCACACGCCGGGTGGCTGAGGAGAGAGAGGCCCCAGAGGCAGCAGATGAAGGACAGGATCCGGAGGAGCGGCGCTCCCGCCCGCCGAGACGCCCGCTGCTGCCAGCGAATGCTGTCGGTTGTCTGCCCTCCCAGCCCATTGTAAGCCTCCATTTCTCAGGCTCGGGATCCCACACGACCCCCAGCAACACACCCACGCTCATCCGCAACCTCAGGATCCAAAATTGCCCCCGCAGCGACACTCCCACGCTCATGAGCGCACCTGGTCCTTGAGCTTAAGACCGAAGGCGTCGGTGTTGGCCTCCAGGAAGCAGTCGATGCGGGAGGCGATGGAGCACTTGTTGGCCAGGTAGCGGCTGCGGGTAGGGCGGGCGGAAATGTGTGTGTGTGTGTGTGTGTGCATGGGCGCGTGGCCGTGTGTGAGCGTAGGGTAAACCCCACCGCTAACCCAGGTGGGATGCGTGAGAGCACGCGGTGTGGGGCCAAGCGGGGTGGGACGAGCCGCGAGTAGGCAGAGGCGAGCTCCGGCGCGGGCCAGGCGCGGCGCCGGCGCGGCGCACCTGATGCGCCCCTTGTTGCGCTGCTTGGCGCGGCCGATGAAGGAGGAGTGGAAGATGAGGCCGTACTTGGGGGTGTTGCCCTTGGTCTTCAGCGCCCTGCAGGGAGGGGCAGGGGAGGGGGGAGGGCGAGGGGAGGGAGGGGAGGAGGATCAGGGAGGGCAAGGGAGGGCGGGGAGCGAGGCAGGGCAGAGAGCAAGGGAGGGGGAAAGGAGGATCAGGGAGGAAACGAGCGGGGGCGAAGGGAGGGAGGGGTGGGCTGCGGCGCTGCAGGGGCGGCGTGGACGAGGTCGGAAGAGGCGGGGACTGCCGCTGGTGCTGGCGCGTGTGCGACACGAGAGAGGGAGGGGTCCGTTTCCTGCCGCCGTGCCGCTCCTGGGCCCCCTCCCTGGCTCACACCACACACACACCACCACCGCCGCCGGGTCGCCATACTGTACATCCCCACACTGTACATCCCCACATACACACACAACTGCACACAGCACACACACACACACGCACAGCGCGCACAGCGTGCACATCGAGCACCGCGCGGCCGGCCGGCCAGCCACCTCCCCGCCCTGCACCCCCACCCGCCCCGGCACCTGAACAGCGCCTTCTCTGCGCCCAGGATCTGCACCGTGGAGGCGGGGTACTTGGCCAGGGAGGTGAGGGATCCGGCGTGGGAGATGAGGCGCGCCCCCACCAGCTCGCCAATCAGCGCAGACAGGTTGGGCGCCACCGTGTGCATCTTGTCTGCGGGGCGGGGGAGGGGAGGCGGGGGAGGTGAGGGGTGAGGGGCGAGGGCGGAGCGCGATGTG